TGTGAAAAAGATGGAGCGGGAGAACAGAGAGAAACCCTGCAGACTGGCTGCAGCCAGAGGCTGCAGGTGCAGGGCTGAAATCGAGTCATCGCCATGCCAACAGGAGTAGCCTGCCTGGAGTAACCCACCCTTCTAGGGAGCACAGGCTGGGTGCTTTCCCCAGGGCCAAGGCAGGCCCCTCCTCTGGAGTCCTGGAGCCTGGGTAAGAGCCTGAAGCCTGGAGCCTGGAGTTGGAGAGTGTGGGCTCCTCGCCTCCACTTTCCTCTGTTCCTCTGAATTCTAAAGGGTGGGACATTTTCTGCACGTTAGGGAATGCTCCAGAAGATTTATGTGACCTCAACTCCAGCTGAATTTCCAATAGGAAAAGTTTGGAAGCTAAACATAAAATCCTAAGCCCCCTAAATGACTGAAAGGGGCCCCAGAGAAACCTGAAAAGCTGAATTCCCAGCCTTGATGGGAAGGGAGGTCAGCCAGGCTTCATTATACGCCAGTCTTTTTGCAGTTTAGATGGAACCACAGACCAGCATTAAAGTTCATAGAGATCTTAAGACTGCCAGAACGGGCTCTTTGTGGCAATAAGATACCAAATTATAAACAGGACCCATGCCAGGCAAGGGTTAAGTCATACCTGCAGGTCATCAATCTTTCTACACAGCATTGAAGTTTTAGATAGAACCTTCCTGTTCCAACCAAATGCAAATTGAATCTCTGAATCCACCTATGTCCTCTAAGTCCCCTGCTTTGAGATGTCCCGCCTTTTCAGGCCTAACCAATACCCACCTTCCATACATTGCTGTATGTCTTTGCCTCTAAACTCCTGCCTCCCTGAAATAGGAAAACCAAACTGCAACCAGACTTCAGGCCCTTTCTCAGGCCTCCTTGGACCCTGTCTCCCCAGGTCATGGTCACTCCTATTGGCTCAGAAATAACCTCTTTAAAATATTTTATGGAAGGCTGGGCAGGGTGGCTCACACCTGTAATCCCAGCACTTTGGGAGGCTGAGGTGGGCAGATCACCTAAGGTCAGGAGTTTGAGACCAGCCTGGCCAACATGGTGAAACTCCCTTTTTACTAAAAATACAAAAATTAGCCAGGCATGGTGGCGCATGCCTGTAATCTCAGCTACTGAGGAGTCTGAGGAGAATTGCTGGAACCCAGCAGGCGGAGGTTGCAGTGAGCCAAGATCACGCCACTGTACTCCAGCCTGGGAGACAGAGTGAGACTCCATCTCAAAAAAACAAAAAACAAAATAAAAAAAGAATTTTACGGAGTTTGGTTTTTCCATCAGCAAGTTTTTACTCTAAAGTGGGCATTGTTTTCCTTTCATACAGAGCTGGGGCTTCCTAGATGATAATGAAAAAATTAAATTTAAATGTTATTTAAAATACATTTCTTATTTTATTATGAAAGTAACAAAAGGAAGAAACATTTTTCCATTGTGATTTGTTAATTTTTAAAACTGAGGAAAATAGGTTAAAAAAGGGAATGAACATATTTACATATGTTTTCAACTGGAAAACATGTATCCATTAATTTTTGTAGTAAACTTATTGAGGTATAATTTTCATACAATTGAGAAAAGAAAAGAACTTTTTGCTCAGGAATGCAAGTCCTTTCAAATGGTCAGGTGCAGAGAGGCATGAAATGAGATGGCAGTCACCTCCCTTTCCCCTCCTTGGAGCTGTGTATTCATGTCTGCAAACTGCTTCCTGCTGCCTTAAGTTAACCTAATAGTGCAGTATTAGACACTACAACTCACACCCTGTGGCTTAACAATGTAGAGCCAACCAATAGATTATGTTATTTTAACACAAATTCTTGGTAAACAACCTAGAACCACCTCTTCTTTTCCCTTGAAAAACCCACCTATAACTGCTACTAATAGATGTATTCAGGGCAACTTGAATCTCTGCTTCCAGTGGCAATCCTCAGGCTTCGCCCAAACTCCCTACTTCCATGAATTTTGCCTGAGGTCATGCCTTTTAGTCCAATTCAATGAAATGTTCAGTTTTCCGCCATACATGTGGATGAGTTGTAAGCCATGCAGCCATGGTCCCAGTCAAGATGCATGAGGCTTCTATGACTCCAGAGAAGCCCTCCCACCCTTTGCTAGCCCATGTCCCAGTCCCAGGCCTCCAACCCTCCCTCTGGCCATCATCACCATCTGGCCACTTGTTGTTCCATTCATGAATCTGGATATTTCCATATAGAGACAAGCTTGTATATATATATTTTTTTTGTGATGGAGTTTCACTCTTATTGCCCAGGCTGGAGTGCAATGGCACAATCTCAGCTCACCGCAGCCTCTACCTCCACCACCTGGGTTCAAGTGATTCTCCTGCCTCAGCCTCCCAAGTTGCTGGGATTATAGGCGTGTGCTACCATGCCCAGCTAATTTTGTATTTTTATTTTATTTTTTATTTTTTTTATTGCATTTTAGGTTTTGGGGTACATGTGAAGAACATGCAAGATTGTTGCATAGGTGCACACATGGCAGCATGATTTGCTGCCTTCCTCCCCTTCACCTGTATCTGGCATTTCTCCTCATGCTATCTCTCCCCAACTCCCCACCCCCTGCTGTACCTCCCCTATTTTCCCCAACAGACCCCAGTGTGTGATGCTCCCCTCCCTGTGTCCATGTGTTCTCATTGTTCAACACCTACCTATGAGTGAGAACATGTGGTGTTTGATTATCTGTTCTTGTGTCAGTTTGCTGAGAATGATGGTTTCCAGGTTCATCCATGTCCCTACAGGGGACACAAACTCATCATTTTTGATAGCTGCATAATATTCCATGGTATATATGTGCCACATTTTCCCTGTCCAGTCTATCTGGGCATTTGGGTTGGTTCCAGCAATGGGGAAAGGATTCCCTGTTTAATAAATGGTGTTGGGAAAACCGGCTAGCCATGTGCAGAATGCAGAAACTGGACCCCTTCCTGACACCTTACACTAAAATTAACTCCAGATGGATTAAAGACTTAAACATAAGACCTAACACCATAAAAACCCTAGAAGAAAATCTAGACAAAACCATTCAGGACATAGGCGTAGGCAAGGACTTAATGACCAAAACACCGAAAGCATTGGCATCAAAAGCCAAAATAGACAAATGGGACCTAATCAAACTCCACAGCTTCTGCATAGCAAAAGAAACAGTTATTAGAGTGAATCAGCAACTAACAGAATGGGAAGAAATTTTTGCAATCTACCCATCTGACAAAGGGCTGATATCCAGAATTTACAAAGAACTAAAGCATTTACAGGAAATTTTTGTATTTTTAGTAGAGATGGGGTTTCTCTATGTTGGTCAGCCTGGTCTCAAATTCCTGACCTCAGGTGATCCGCCTGCCTCAGCCTCCCAAAGTGCTGGGATTACAGGTGTGAGCTACCATGCCTAGCCAAGCTTGCATTTAATTGATCTGCTGATTGGATTTCTTCTCTTTTAATATAAACCCCAGTCTTAATTCTTCTTCTGGTTACCCAATTTCATATTTTTAAAAGTGGACCAAAAAAAGTTGAACACATTTTAAAACAATCTAAGACCAGAATTTTTCCAAACATTCACCAATTATTTTTCATTTTTAAGAGTCATCTTGTCTATACCTAATTCAAAGTCAATTTTTAAAGCAGTTTCATCTTGCCTTGATCTTGATTTCCCGAATCATTTATCTAGGTTTATTTAGAAACAACTTTTTTCTAACACATTTCCTGGAAAAAAAACACACCCACCTTTCTTTCATTTTGCACCAATGTTTAATAGGTTACATAATGTTTAATTAAGTTCCATGGTGTTACTGGAAAGGGTCCTCCTGATCCAGACCTCAAGAGCGGTTCTTAAACCTTGTGCGAGAAAGAATTCGAGGGAGTCCATAAAGTGAAAGCAAGTTTATTAAAAAAGTAAAGGAAAAAAAAAGAATGGCTGCTCCATGGGAAAAGCAGTGCGCGGGCTGCTTGACTGATTTCACTTATAGTTATTTATTGATGATATGCTAAACAAGGGGTGGATTATTCATGAGTTTTTCGGGAAAGGGGTGGGCAATTCCCATAACTGAGGGTTTCTCATCTCGACCTCATTTCACCCAGCCCCTATTCAAGATGGAGTTGCTCTGTTTCAAATGCCTCTGACACTAGTAAGGATCACAGGTGGCATAAACAGGTTTGGAGAAAACCTAAGTGTCTCTGAGTCATCCAGCCCATTTTGACGAAGATTATGTGAGTTGTTGGAGCAGAGGTTGGTTGAAGGAACTCCTACTATAGTAGGAGTAATCACAGTATCTTGCACAAAATAAATAAAACACACAAGAATACACATATGTGCATGACCCTACAGCCCAGAGGTATCCACTTCCTACATTTTGCATATAGTATTTCAGTGTCTAATAAATACTTGTATGAATTTACGGTCAGCATCATTGCAAGGCTAGAGGGAACCATAATCCACAAAACTGCCCTCAGTTCTGCACCAATTGCAAGGGTAAGGGTCCCCAAAACCACCTTCAGGTATGATAATTTGCTAGAAAAACTCACTGAAAGCTGTTATACTCATGGTCATGACTTAGCATGGGGTAGGACACAGATTAAAATCAACCCAGGGAAAGATACTCCGGCCAGAGTCCAGGAAGTTCCCACCTGCAGAGTGTCCAGTTGTCTTTCCCTGTGGAGTTGTGGACAGTGTCACTTCTGGCATCCAGGTGGGATCACCTGAGCTTAGTGTCCCAGAGTCTCTACTGGGGCCCCACGGTTGACTGCCCATGCAGATGGCAGTCTCCAGCTCACCCTGGGGGATGAGCTGATCACAGCTTCCACTTAAATCTCACCGTAGGCTTCCCAGTATGGTCCAAAGGTCCCAGGCAAACCAAGACCCTCTCATCAGGCATGACATTCCAAGGCTTAGAGACCACTTCTCAGAATCTGAGAGAAGAAGCCAGGTCTTTCTGGGCAAGGTTCAATTCTTTATTACACAGTCATGTGTAAAGGATTTATTTTTCTTTCCAAAAGTTGGATTGCGCTACACACTTGGTTTTGGAATCGACTCTTGGACTCATGGCATGACTGTGTGCCTGAGGCTGACTCAGAATTCCCACCATCGCCCTCTGCTGCTCTCCTGGTCATCCTTGGCACCTGGTTGGAAATGGAATTTGGACACTGGTATGAATGTGGGTTGGTATTTCAGTCTGGGTTCCTAGAAGCAGATCCCAAGATGAGGATTTGTGTGGAAGCAGTATAAATGATGTGTTCCCTGGAAAACCAGCATGGGAATTCCAGGCACTAGTGGGTGGGGAGGAGGCCGAGTGCTGGGGGCTCATTCTGGCTTCATCTTATGGAGGAACTGGGAAGTTACTGGTCACTGCTCAAAGGTGTCCCTTTTGGGTTTGGGGGCAGTGCTCGGGTACTCTCTGTCTTATCTGTCATTCACTGGCTAAGGACTGTAAATTCCCAGACAGCCTGGCTCTCCAGGAGCTCAGAGAGCCACAGGGAAGGGGTTCCTTTGACTGGAGGGCAGCCCCCTGCAAAATTCAGAAGCTGGACGCTGGGACTGAGACCTGGGGCTCAGGTGCATAAAAATGGTCAACAGGCACAGAAATGTGAGCAGAGCTCACGGCATCTGCTACGATTAGAGTCTGAAGGCACCTCAGCATTCAGAAGGGCCAGATGTGATTCTCCTCTGGGTAAGTGTAGGCTCTCAGTGGGGTCAACTGACCTAGACCAGGACAGAAGCTCAGCGGCTGCTTACCACTGTTTCGTCCCTGCTGCATTCACCTGGGTGTCAGCTCCCAGCGGCCTGGGCAAGGATGGGAGAAGCACGTTCTGTCACGTAGGTGCTGTGTATGCTCAGGCTTCCTCTGGACATCATGAGTGGATAAGTAGGGCCAGGTGACAGTGTCAAATGACCGCTGACTGTCGAATGCCTGACCTGTGGCTCCAGTGCTGGCTCTCACTTTTCACTGGGTCTGCTGCCTACTCCCCATCTGCTCCACTGCACACCCCTTCCGGGCCCTGGGCCATCAGCTGTTTCCCAGCTAGAGTGGGTGCAAGCTCCCTTCTCTGCACTGAGCAGCACGCCCCGTTGTCCTTACCCCTCCCACCATTTCTGTTTGGGTAAACGCCAAGGGCTTGAGCAATGGAAAGGGACTGCCAGGCCAATTGCTTTCCTTCCTCCCCACCTTAGAACATCTCAAGGTATAGGGGACCCCATGGCCTCCCTGAGACACCTTCACCAGTCATCATTGGCTGTTTTTTTTTTTGTGATCTGTGGCAGCTCAAAATTAATACATAAATAACACGTAGAGTATCACTTTGAATTCATCCCCTTTCTTCACCATCTCCTCCCCCTAACTCCACTCCTTCATTCCTGGGCTTGCAGACCACCCCCTGCCACCCCCCTGTCAGGTCACCACATGCAGGGGCCTGGCCATACTCAGACAGGACTGACTGGTTGCTGTGGGCAGGCCAGGAAGATCGTGAAATTCTAATATGGCAAAGACCAAAATAAAAACAGGCTCTGGTTGTCCCACTGGCTTACCTTTCCTGGCCTGCTCCCTGCTTTGGCTGAGTCTATAAGGCCTTCTGTTGTCCCTAAGCTCTGTCACCACTCTTCTTAAGTTGTGGAAAACAGAGTCGTACACATGATTTTGTCCACTGAAAGGCAAGCAAACGTCTGCTGTGAGAATGCAATTGCTTATTGCCTTATAAGTATTGGCCAGTTTTACGTCTGTCTGTAAATTCATCTCAGCATTCTGATTGCCGGTATATGAGTGTGTGTGAGTCCTTGTTGAACTGATTGTAGTGTCTTACTGGTTCCTCCTTCATTCATAAGTAAAACCAAATATTTGGTGTGTGTCCATTTTATATTTGTATGAGAATCGTGGTTTTACTTTGAAAAATACCATTCTTTTCCTGTCCCCTCAACCCATTGCCTAGAGTCATGCTGGAGAAAGTGCAGAGAGGCTCTCCTTGTCTTTATTTTTCCTTCACCTGGGTCACAGCACATTTTGATAGCTTGCTCACTGGACTCCAAACTCATGAGAGCAGGATCCTCTCGGTCTGATTTTCCACTGAATCCTCAGCTCCAAAAACATTTCTGGCACGAAATAGGGACATGAAGTGAGTTTGCTAAGTGAAGCCTGTGGCCTCAGTCTTGTTTCTGGCTCAGCCAGATCCCATTGTGCCTGGGATCCTTTCCTCCCCTCCCCTTCCCTGGACACTGTGGGGGAAGGAGGAGTTGGGATGAGAGAGATATGTGGCAGCTTCCATTCTGCTGCCAAAGGAAATGGGGACTGAAATTCGTAGAGAGGGGGCCAGGAGAGAAACCATTTTAAGAAGTTTTGAGATGTACCACAAACTTTCCCTTCCCTCCCCCCGCTTCCCTCCCCTCCCCTCCCCTCCCCTTCCCTCCCCTCCCTTCCCTTCCCTTCCTCCTCTCCTTCCTTTCCCCCATCCTTCCCTTCCCTTATCCTTTCCTTCCTTTCCCTTTCCTTCCCTTCCCTTCCTCTTTCCCTTCCCTTCCCCCTCCCTTCCCTTCCCCCATCCTTCCTTTCCTTCCCTTCCCTTTCCCCTCCCTTCCCTCCCCTTCCCCTTCCCTTTGCCCCTCCCCTGTTCTCCCCCTTCCCCTCCTCCTCCCCTGCCCTCCCCCATCCCCTTCCCTTCCCCCCTCTTCCCTTCTTCTTTCCCTTCCCTTTCCCCTCCTTTCCCTCCCCCCTCCCTTTCCTTCCCTCTCCCTTTCCTTCCCTGTCTTCTCTCTCTTTTCTTTTTGGTGGTCCACATTTGCTCATCTATACTGTTTATTTCACAGAATACTTTCACAAAACACCTATGTTCAAGCATTACTCAATGTTGCCTTTTATCTTGGAACACAACAAAAAGAGAAGACAGGAAGAATTCATATATATAACCTCAAAGTTAAGGCAGTGCAGGGGCAAGCAAACAGAAGACAGAGCAATGACCTGCTGAGATTGAATAGTCAACACTTACATAAAAGGATAAATCCATTTATTTATTTATTTAGAGACAGGATCTCAGTCTGTCACTCAGGCTGGAATGCAGTGGTGTAATCATGGCTTGCTGCAGCCTTGACTTCCAGGCTCAAGCAGTCCTCCCATCTCAGCTTCCTGAGTAGCTAGGACCACAGGTGTGCACCACCACACTTGGCTTATTTATTTATTTCTAGAGACTGATCTCACTATGTTGCCCAGGCTGGTCTTGAACTCCTGGGCTCAAGCGATCCTCAGGCCTCAGCCTCCCAAAGTTCTGGAATTACAGACATGAGTCACCATCCCCAGCCAAGAATATCCTCAATGAGTAAAGAGCTTTAATAGGAAAACACGTCGACGCAGCAAAAGGGACAGCATACTTGAACAGATGAATTGCAAATGAGGACACGGAGGGGACCACTCAGCCATAGCAAAGCGTTCAGCCTCACAAGCCATCAAATAAATGCAAATTAAAACAAGACCTTTTTTCTCCCATCAGAGTGTAGACATGAAGGGCGTCATCACACCCTCTGTTCACAGAAAGCATGTAAATGGGCCGGAGTGTCACTGGGCCGTCCCCTGTCATTCTGGGTACCCTGTCTTGGCACAGTCAAGAAGAGAAACAGCACCTGCATCTGAAAGCATTGCTAGCTCTTGTTGAAGCCTTTGAAGAAGATATCAAAGGGGGAATTACATTTGTGGTACATCCCAAAACTTCTGAAAATTGTTTCCCCCTCACTATGGATCTCAGTCCCCATTTCTTTTGCCAGCAGAATGGAAGCTGCCACTCATCTTTCTTCTCCCAACTCCTCTGGGGCCTCAGCAACTTCTGGTGACTTCAGCTGGGACTCCATTGCCTTCTGGGGCATCAGTGACTTCAAGCATCTGGCTCAGTCTTTGTTGTGCAGATTTGGCGTCTTGGACTTCCTTCTGCTGTCCAGTCCACACTGCCCAGCTCTTCAAGAAAAAGGGCTCTAGGTCTGACTCCTTCCCCCAGGGGGAGAGATGTGTGGCTGGACCTGAATCAGAAGGGTGACTGAGGCTGCAGACGTGTGCACAGAGTAGATGTGTTGAAATATTTACTGCATGTGTTGTCTTTATATTCTCTCTCTTTTTAAATTATTTATTTATTTATTAAGATGGGGTTTCACCATGTTGATCAGGCTGGTCTTGAACTCCTGACCTCAGGTGATCTACCTGCCTGCAAAGTGCTTGGATTACAGGCGTGAGCCACCATGCCCGGCCCGTCTTTATATTCTCTTTTTACACTAATTTCAGACCTGCAGTCTTTGTACATCTTTGCTTAGAGGATTTTTCTGTATTGTAAATCAGAATTGCTCTGAAATTTACAGCTAAGCCAGATTCTTATGAAAAAAAAAAAAAAAACAAACAAAAAAAACCAAAAAAACACCACCACAAAACCTAGTTGTCAAATATGGTGGGGGTGTGGGGTATGCATGGAGAGTGCTTTGGGAAGCTCTGGTCTAAAATTCTTTCCAGATACAAGCATTTCTTACCACCTCCACCATCACTACTCCAGCAGAATCACTGTCACCTGTGACTTCTGTACCTGTTTTGTATGGCTGCCCTGCCCCTCCCACCCACAACCAGTCTCTAGACAGACAGGCACATGGATAGATAGACAGGCAGGCAGGTGGATAGATAGACAGATAGACAGAGGCAGATAGATAGATGATAGAGGATGGTAGATAGGTGATAGAGGATGATAGAGATAGATGATAGATGATAATAGATAGAGACAGATAATATATATATATATATAAAGAGACATATAGGTAATAGATGATAGCTATATAGATAGATGATAGATAGATAGATATAGACAAATAGACAGATAGCTAGACAGATGAAGACATAGATTTCCTTCTCCCCAATTCTGTTCTGAGGTAGCAGGCCACATTCAGGAATGCTGGAATGTGGGTGTTTGGTGAAAGTGCTCTGTGAATGAACAATATACATGAGCTGTATCTATATCCAATCCAGTCTCAACACAACAACCAGAGGTTTCTTCCAAAATGTATATCAGCTCAGACCCCTCTCAGCTCCCATCCCTCCAGCAGGTCCCCATCCAGCTCAGTCAGAAAAAGCACCCTCAGGATGGCTGTGGGAAGCAGAATTTCTATGAGCCCCCCAAGGAGGCCCCGCGCTCATCCACGGAAGCTTCAGTATGATGAGAGGCCACCCTGAAGCACATTGTTTCATAGACAGTTGGCCTTAAACCAGGGAGGTCGTCCTGAATTCTGGGTGAGCACAGTGTAATCCCATGAGCCCCGAGAGCAGAGAGCGTCCTCTGGCTGCAGGTGGAAGAGGTGGCAGAGAGGATGGGGTGGGAGAGTGAGCGCCTTAGTGGGTGGGGTGGACTCTGGGTGTCCTTGCTGGCTTTGAGAAGAGGGATGCAGCGAGCCTTGAGCTGACAGCCTGCAGGGGAGTGGGGCCTCCATCCTTCAGCTGCAGGGAGAAGTCCTGTAGCCCCAAGTGAGTCTGAAGCATGTTCTTTCCTCGAGCCCCCGACAAGAGCATCACCCACAAGAGCACCACCCCCTCCCCCACCATGGCACCTCATCACCTTCACTTTGACCTGTGAGAGCAAAGGACCCTGCTGAGCCAACCCTCTCCAACTGCTGTAATAAATGGGTGTTGTTCAGGCTGCCACATTGTCCAGGGGCAGTAAGGAATGAATACCATGGTCTACAAGTCCCCTTGACTGTCTCCCAGCCTCCTCCCTGGTCCCTCAGACACCCTTGTTCTTCCTGTCAGAGCCGCAGGCCTGGTACTCCCTCTGCCAGAGGCCTTTCCCCAAAACAGAGCAGATGGCAGCCTGCTGGGTGTGTTCAAGGCCTCAGCAGATGCTTCAGAGTAGAAGTGCACCTGTGCTGCTTTGCAAAGTGTAAGTGACAGCGTGGTTTACAAACCTGCCTGTTTTCTGGGAGTCCTGGCCCTTCCTGGAAACAGTGGGCAGGGCGGCTTGACAAGCTACCCACACGGCATGTGCAGGTCAGCTGATCACTGGACCACAGGTGGCTGAGGGTGACCAGCCACTGAGTGGGTCAGGAATAAGTGAACAGCACCTTCGAGTGTCAGGGATGTTTGGTGAGGGCCTTCCTTTGACTGAGAAAGGAGGCGGGTGCTGAGTATTCAGCAGTTTGGGAGCAAGAAGGGTCTCTACTCTCCTCCCCTCCCCTCCCTTTTTTCTCCTGGGCCATGCAGTGGGCCTGCAGACAGCACAGAAAATGCACCCAGAGGAGCTTGGGATGTCCAGGAAGACCTTGAGGAGTACCCGTGAAGAGAAGGCTTGCACCCCAAGTCTGTGGTGGGCTGGGGTGGGGCCCCTGCTCTGGAAAGAATAAGTGCTCTTCCCAAGTAGGAGGGACATCCAGGGCCTGGCAGGGACTGTGGCCCAAGTAGGAGGGACATCCAGGGCCTGTGGGAGGCAGGGATCGCGGCCCAAGTAGGAGGGACATCCAGGGCCTGGCAGGGACCGTGGCCCAAGTGGGAAGGACACGCAGGGACTGTGGGAGGCTGGGTCTCTTCCGCAGTGGTGGCTGCAGGGCCTGGCGAGGGTCACTTTCAGGCTGGTTAGACCTGCCCCCTCCCCAGGTGGTGTGCTCAGACAGCGCCTCTGGGCTGGGACAAACAGGAAGGTGCTGAGACCATGTCTACCTGTGGCTCTAAACACTTGACTTCCACCTGCTGGCCTCCACGTCCCTGCAGCCAGCTGTCTGGAGGTCATTCTGTTATGTGAATTGTCTTAGGTGATTCCCACTGTCAACAGTGGAACTCTGACACATTCTTTGTGTAACTTTGTTCTTAGCATTGCGTTCGTCTTGTGCTGCAGCTGCAGGCCCTCTCATGACTGCCCCAGGAAACACTGGCAGCTAGTGAGAATCTTCAGGCAGCCATGAACAGTGTGAGATGATTTTGTTAACTTCAGCCTCATGTCCACGCTCTGAGCACGTCTGAGTGAGAGGGCTCAGCTATGATGCCCGGAAGGTGAGATGCCTCAAATGCATTTTGACCTGGGGCATTTTAAACTTATGATGGGTTTGTTGGGATGTGACCTCACCAGTCCAGGAGCATATGTGCTATGAGTATTCATTTTCTTCCTATAATTTCTCCAGCTTGTGCATTGGGAGCTCTGAAGACCTCCTTGACATTCACTCCCTGAAGTTCCCAGAGCCACTGCTCTTCCCTGACATCTTATGCAAGGCAGGAGGTGTGGGGTCAGTTTCCACAAGGAAGAGGGACTGATCCAGTCTGTTGGTCCCTGCAGATGTGACTTTTGCAACGTTTGTAACTTTCCTATTAGCCTAAAATTATCTCAAAATACAAAGTTAAAAAATGAATCAAGTGAGTTAACACTGGAATTTGCAGATGAATGCTGATGAGAGCAACAATAATAAAAATAATAGTGACCTTTGTTGAGTGTGGCAAGCAGTGTGCTAGCATCGCATCAAATCTTCCTTAGGAACCCAGGGTTTTCCTATGAGCATCCTGGGAGTATGGCAAGGCAGCCAGGGAAGTGGAGCCGTTCCAGGGACACCCCTCTCCACTGCCGCTTGCTGGCAGTGTTCACTCTGTTAGTTCAATGTTTGCCTTAATACACCCTTTAGAATCACACTGTATCCTTGGAGCCTTCAGCGGTTGATAAAAAAAGAAGGCTTCTGTGTACACATTGGCAACTCTACCACACAATTTCCAGTGTAGCTCCAGAAGCTAAAAATAACCACGTGCTTTCTGTTTCATGCAGAAAAGAGGACGTGTGCACTTTATTTCGTAACACTTACCATTTTTGAAACTCTGATTTTTCCCACATGTATTTTTAAAATGTCCTTGAAGGAAAAGACACGATGTGGATTTTGCCAGTTTCCTCTTTTCTGTAATCCAGCTCAGGTCTAGGGGCAGGTCCAGATCTTCAGGAAACAACTCCTGGCGATCAGATGTTGGAAGAAAACCTTGAGCCAACATTCATGGCCATGGGGTGGACTTGCCAAGAAGTGCCTGGAGACAGCTCCATGGGGTCTGAGGCTGAGGTCTATAGGGGGAATGGCATCTTCAAGGGTCCCCATATCTCTGCAGCCCAGGGCGGGGATGAGCAGTGGTCTGCCAGGGTCTCTGCATGGCCTGTTTCCTGTGCAAGGAGAGGCCACAGACTTAGAGCACAATCCAGGGCTCTGTGTCCTGAGGCAGGAACAAGGATGGCCATCCAGGGCTCTGCTTTCCCAAAGATTTCAGCGCTCTCCTCACCAAGGCCAAGCATGGTTGCTGCAGGGAGCTGTTTATACCAGGTTTCCATCTGCCTGATGCTCACTTGCTTGCTTTTCACTGCGTGAGCCCCACAGAGGTACACTTTGAGGAATTTCCAGTGAGCACAGAGCAGGTGGGCCATGGGTGGGTCAGGGCTGGGCACCACATCAGGGGATGACCCTGCTGTCTGAGGAGCATCCTCCTCACAGGTAGGGCTGCCTGGTGGGTTTTCTGAGTTAGCTCCCTCCTGAGGCTGCCAGGCCAGGCCCTTTCCCATCTTGCTGCACTCACCCTGCCTGGATCGAGGAACCCAGACTTACCACCTGGCTGATGCTTGGGTGTGAGCAAAATTCCTAGGACCCAAGGTCAGGGGCTAGAAGGGCAGTGGGAATGGTGTCTGTGGCTGGAAAAAATCCAAGGCCACACAGCCAGGAAGTTAGGCAGAGAGTGGGACATGCCCTTTGACCCCAGTGAACCTGCGCAGTGCTGGAAATACCACTGGGACCATGCACAGACGTACACAGTTGGTTAACCCTAGTCCTCCCAACTAGGACTGAGCAGAGCCCCTCCCAGCATCCTGCCTGCTGTTATTCAAGCGCAGCTGCTTGTCTTGTGCATCCGCTAGGGCTGGGCTGGCCTCATCTCCTTCAATGATGCACTGACAGGGCCACTGCAATATGACAGGAAGAGGAAATATGTGGTAAGAATGGTGACATTGTAAATGCATACAGTGAACACATTTCCTCTAGAAAATCAGCCATAAATTAGAAAATGCAATAGTTCTCTTCTCAGTACTAACAACCCACACAGGAACTTAGCAGAGAACTGGATTAAGAACAGTATTAAAGCTGAGACTTAGTGTGAGGAAAGGTCCCAGGCTTACTAAGGTTAAGGAAATATACCTGTGTAGACACATTATCACCACATTATTAACCTGGAGACAAAGACTGATGAGCAAATAGATTAATTCTCTGGATTTAAGAGCTTATAAAGTCAAAACAAAATTATATTTGGCTGTCTTAAAACATGCTAATAGGATTCAAAAGCTTATCTGGAAAGCAACTGAGCTTGAAGAAGCACAAGCCGTTTTAAGAGAAGACTATTAAGGAGGAACATTCCCTGTCAGATATTAAACCATAGTGTGAAGCTACAATCACTGAAAAAATGTGAACAACTGCAATCATCAATTGTATCGGGGAAAACATAGATTACTCCTGAAAGAATTGGAATTTATGAAATAATTTTATGTGTTCATAGTATAATATACTAGGGTTAATGGTATCATCACATATCTTTGGAGAAAGACTTATTCAATCCATGATATGTGATAAAAAAATTAACGATGTACAATAAGTTATATCTTCTTGTATCACCTTAAAATGCAACAAGTTCTAGGAAATTTTTATTTTAAAATAAAACTATAAAAAACAAGGAGATAAAACAGAACAATGTTCTTTGGCTCTAAGGCAAAAATGACATTTTAAGAAAAATGTGTAAGAAAGTGTACAAAAATAGACTTAATTAACATTGTTTATAATTTAAGATGATAGCAAAAATAAGGATAAAAACAAAGTATAAGGGGAGTCATAAAAAGCTTTCATGGGCTGCTTCCCTTCTCTGTAATCATTTCTTAAAAATAATGACTAATGTATCAACTGGAAAATGAACAAGTCATGAGAGGACAAACTTGAGAAAGATAATAATAGTCAATAAACATGAAAAATGTTTACTGTCATCACTAATCAAATAAAGCAAACATAAAAAGAAACCATTACTATTGTTTTTAAGATAATACGCAACATTGGTAATGAGGCATTTTCAAGCTCCTTGGGTGGTGGCAGAAACACATACACACTTTCTCTAGCCATTAATTAATGTAAGATGTCAAGATGGCCACTCTTCTGCTTTCTCTGACTTCATGCTCTTCCCAAAAATTGAGTGCTAACCAATTAGGCAAGGCTGAACACAGTGGGTATCTGAACAGGAGGTCAAAGCAGCACCACGGTGGCTCACAGCTGGATGCTGGAACCTGAGCGGGGTGAGGAGGGTGGCCATGAAGGAGCATGGACCATCCATGGAGCACTGTGCACCATTCATGTAGCACTGTGGATCCTGCATGCAGGACTGTGCAACATTCATGCAGCATTATGGACCCTTCATGCAGGACTGTGCACCATTCATGCGGCACTGTGGATCCTTCATGCAGGACTGTGCACCATTCATGCACCACTGTGGACCCTTCATGCAGGACTGTGTACCATTCATGTAGCACTGTGGATCCTTCATGGAGGACTGTGCACCATTCGTGCAGCACTCTGGACCCTGCATGCAGGACTGTGCACCATTCCTGCAGCAATATGGACCCTTCATGCAGGACTGTGCACCATTCATGCAGGACTGTGCCCCATTCATGCAGCACTGTGGATCCTGCATGCAGGACTGTGCACCATTCATGTATCATTCTGGACCCTGCATGGAGGACTGTGCACCATTCATGCAGCACTGTGGATCCTTCATGCAGTACTGTGCACCATTCATGCAGCACTGTGGATCCTTCATGCAGGACTGTGCACCATTCATGCAGCACTATGGATCCTGCATGCAGGACTGTGCACCATTCATGCAGCACTGTGTATCCTTCATGCAGGACTGTGCACCATTCATGCAGCACTGTGTATCCTTCATGCAGGACTGTGCACCATTCATGTAGCATTATGGACCCTTCATGCAGGACAGTGCACAATTCATACAGCACTGTGGATCCTTCAGGGAGGACTGTGCACCATTCATGCAATACTGTGGACCCTGCATGCAGGACTGTGCACCATTCATGTAGCATTATGGACACTGCAGGAAGGACTGTCCACCATTCATACAGCACTGTGGACCTGCATGCAGGACTGTGCACCATTCATGTAGCATTATGGACACTGCAGGAAGGACTGTGCACCATTCATACAGCACTGTGGACCCTGCATGCAGGACCAAGGTGGCCTCTCCTCTGACCACTCTGGACCAAGCATTGTCCCTGAAGATCAGGCCTGAGGAATCAGTGCACCCAAATTGGCTGAGCCCCACTACGTGCAAGGCAAAACCCTTTGGGGTGCACACCTTGGCTACCACATGCAAACTGATTCTTACAAGGTGAGGCATGCATGACTGGAGCGTCTGCAGCACAACAGAGATTTGCTGAGATGAGATGTGCTGCCCCAGGGCTGGCCAAGCTGGACACGTGTTTGCTCTGAAGGTGGCAAGTGTGCACCCACAGAGGCTCCTCCTCCACCCTGTGGCTGGGCCCTGCCCATGGTATCTTCCATGTAGATCTCTCTTACCTGCCATGCTAACCATGATTTCATCCTGGTTGGCTTGAGATGCTTTTATTCTAAGTCTCCTCTGACTCCAGAGGTGCCCAGAAAACAACTCCAATGAATGGTCCCTGCCACCACCAGATGCAGGTGGCCCCAGGGAAGAGCCCTCTGCCCAGGGCCACTTTGTGTGGGGCTGTGTGAGGGACTCTGGGGCTGGAGCTGTGTCACCAGTCACTGTTTGGACAGGCCGCTTTCTAAAGGATCAGCATCTTCAGATTCAGCAGGGCTGGCTGGGGAGACCCTGGTGAGCACCACAGGGGAGGGCCTGCAGCAGTACACCGAGGGGCCCACTCCTCTTGTGGGAGTCGCCATCATTGGAGCTTATCAGCCCTCTCCCACAGAGAGGGAGGTGGGTTGCTATCATGCATTTTGGCAGCAGAGGGTTGACACATCCAGGGATGCTGGATTAGCTGAGGAGCAGAGCTGGGGCTGGCACCTCCGCAACTCACCCACTCCCAGTCTGGAGCAAGAACGGGGTGGACCCTGTGATCCTTGAAACAAGAGTATTTCCCTTTCTCAGATGCATGAGCCAGGCAATGGAGTTGGGATGCATCCCAGATGGTGGCAGGTTAGATGGGTCCCTAGGCTCCCATAGGAGCCCAGGCTCAGGGAGGAACTCTCTGCCCCTGACAAAATGAACATCTTCACCTCTTACAACATAGACTGGACCCAGGGAGGGACACACTTCTTTGTCAGATCTAAGACCTGGGGGCAGAGGGGTCTCCAGGCACCCAGGAAGCTCTCCCAGGCAGACCCGGGCTCAGAACTTGCACTCAAGGATACAGAAGGGATACAGGTAAGGCTATAACTAGATGGAAATTTGTGACTTCAGTGCAAAAATTAGAATGTCAGAAAACCTAATAATCAGTAAACTAAGCATTTGCTGTGAATCAGGTAATTACTCATTAGGAAAACAAAAATTAACACTATAATATAATGCACAATGAACAGAATGACTGCAAGAAAATGACTGAGAGAGAATAGCAAGTGATGGCAAAGATGTGGAGCCACCAAAACTCAGTTTCTGTTGGTCAGAGTGGATGTAAATTGTGAACCTGTAGAATAATTTGGGAAAATTTTTTCATCATATCTATTAAAGCTAAATGTATGCCTAATCTATGACTCAACAATTCTCCTAGGTATGTAAGCAAGAAAAATCCATATATAAGTTCACCAAAAGACATGTGTAATGCTCAGTGATACTATTCATGATGGTCCCCAAACTGGAAACAACCCAAATGTCCACCAAGAGTAGAATGGATAAACTGGTGTGGTCATACCATCAAATACAATGGGAATAAATGATAAGAATGAATGAGTCTCACAAACACAATGTTGAATGAAAGAAATCAGACACCAAAGAATGTACACCATTTGAGTCCATTAAAATGGGTCATGGTGCCATGATGTCAGGAGCCATGATGTCAGAAGCCATGATGTAGGAAGTTATGATGTCATCACGACACCAGAAGTTATGATGTCATGAGCCATGATGTCAGAAGTTATGATGTCAGGAGTGCTGATACAGAAAGTTGTGATGTCATAATGCCAAAGCTCTGATCTCAGAAGTTATGAAGCCATGGTGCTAAAAGCCATTATGTCAGAAGTTATGGTGCCATGATGTCAGGAATCATCCTGTCAGAAGGCCTGATGCCAGAGGTCGTGATATCAGAAGCCATGATGTCAGGAACCATAATGTAGGAGGTTATGATGTCATGCCAGGAGCCATGATGCCAGGAGCCGTGATACAGAAAGTTATTATGTCATGATGTCAGGAGCCATGATGCCAGGAGTCCTGATGTCAGGAGCCATGATGCCAGGAGCCATGATGTAGGAAGTTACGATGTCATGATGTCAGAAGTTATTATGTCATGATGTCAAGAGCCGTGATGCCAGAAGCCCTAATGTTAGGAGTCATGATATCATAACTTCCGATGTCATGGCTCATGACACCTGGGAGGCTGAGGTGGGTGGATCATGAGGTCAGGAGTTCAAGACCAGCCTGGCCAAGATGGTGAAACCTCATCTCTACTAAAATTACAAAAATTAGCTGGGCATGGTGGTAGGCACCTGTAATCCCAGCTACTCGGGAGGCCGAGGCAGAGAATTGCTTGAACCTAGGAGATGGAAGTTGCAGTGAGCCAAAATTGTGCCACTGCACTCTATTCTGGGTGACAAAGTGATATTCTGTCTCAAAAAAAAGGGGGGGGGGCTACCAGTGCACTCTGCCAGGAGCCTGGAGGGGAGGAGTGTCTCTTCAAAGTCCACTCTGGGACATTGGCCTCATGTGCAGGGTACAGACCTTGGTGGATGCCAGCACAGGGTGGAGGGGCCAGGAAGGCAGTCAGAGAGGCTGTGGGGCCTGCTACCAGAATTAATGTTACAGGCGGTTGTGCGCAAATCATCACGACAGGCCTGGAAAACAGAGCAGTCAGTCTTGCAGAACTCCAGGCTAATCAGTACTATTGAAACCTTTAATTTTCTTCACTTTGTGTGAGGTGAGAACTGGATATTGGAGGGATTCCTCCCAGAATCACATCCGCTCTTGCCAGTGGCTCCCCTAGGAGGCCTGACAGCCCCGGGTGTGTGAGTGGGCAAGGCAGCCCTGTCCTCAGTGTTTATTTCTACTGTGGCCAGTGAGCAAGTTGGGGAGGAAGGATTGCCAGTGAGCCTAAGCCCAACCACCTGCAGGCTGACCTTGACTTTGACCTTGGACCTTAAGGGGTGAGTGTGGGAAGCTCCTCTTCCAGGCATGGAAGGCCTGCTGAGCCCTGGGGCTGAGGCCCCTGTCTACCGGAGCAGCCTGCACTGTCCAGAGGCTCTCTCAGTGCTGACAGTAAGAAGCTGGATGCCAAAGGCTGCACCATTGCTGCCCTGGGAAAAAGCAGCTCATTCAGCTAAAGGACACTCTGGCTCCTCTTTTCCTGCCCTGTTGAACCCATGTCATCACAGGTTGCATCCTCCAGGCAACACCAGTGACCCCGTCTCCCAAAGGCTCCTCCCAGCCTCGGGGGTGGCTGCCCCAAGTCACATTATAAACTAGCATGAAGCCTGCGTAGGACCCAGGAAGCAGATCACTGAGCCCGGAGTCCCCATTCCTGCACAGCATGGCCCTGCTGAATCCCAGCTAGGAGGGGCTGTTTCTGCCTGAGCCTGCCCCTTCCCACGGGAGGACACACCTGCCAATGGAATCTGAGCTACGGCTTCCTAGGGCCAGCCAGGTGGGGCTCTTCATGTGAGTGCACCTATCCTCGGGCTACGAGGGAGTTACCATCATGGTGCCCATTTCACAGAGGAGGAGGCTGAGGCTCAGAGATGGGAAAAGGATCAGGCCAGGAGGCGGGGAAGAAGCATCTGCTCTAAGATTTTGCCTCATAACAGGAATAACGATAATAATAATAACTCATTGAAAATATGGTCCTTTTCCATGTATAGAAATACATATGCTCAATGAAAAAACAAATCCAATCTTCCTAGCCCTACAATATTGCGTTTTCTAGTCTAATATCTAAGTCTCCATTTATTGCTTTTAAAATGTTCCTCAGGAGAGTTTTGCTGTTTCCTTCAACAGCTCCACCTTTCTCACTAAATTCTCCACCAATCAGGATTTTATGTGTTTTTCTGCTATTGTGAATGAGCTTTATTTCTGTTTTCTAAGTGGGTATCACTGACTATTGACTAGTGTGCATTTTCTTATGTGAAGTGCTCCTATTTCTTACCCTTGCAGTCCATCCTGTGTTTTCTAGATTGATCTCAAACCGTCTGTAAAATATGGCAATTTTGCCTCTTTCCTATCTTTGTAGCTCTTATTTTATGATTTTTTTTGGTCTTCTGGGGAAAGGAACAGGCTCAGGTAAGCAGCCAGGCTTAGGGCAGCCGCTGATCACCCCATGCAGTGAAAGCTGCGGCCCGCCGAGATGCTGGGTTGTTAGGAAGTGCATAGATGAGGCCTGTCCAGGTCCAGGGCAGACCACCCTCCAAGGTGCTGATCTGGCCAGCCCCCAGCAGGAGAGTGCTGGCTGCTGTAATGGTGGCTGTGGGTGTGTGGTGACCGTCCAGGCTTCCCTGAGCACTGCTGGGATGGGTGAGCCTAATTTAGGGTTTATTTCTGGGGTTCTGGGTCCTCAGGGACAGAGGTGTGATAGCACTTGGTTCCGTCATGGCTGGCTGCTCTGAGGCTCTTTCTGTCTGCCTTTCCTGGCCTCTTGAAATGGTTGTTTTGTGATTTATTATTTTGTTGCATTGTATTGGTAGATTTCCTAATATTGAACTTGTTTTAAGGTTCTTGGAAAACCTCAACTGAAGCAGATAGGTGGTCATTACTATATGTGTGTGTTTTAATCCAATTGAAGTAACATGTGAGGACTTTATTACAGTATTTGGTATATTTCATTTCATGTGTATGTAACTTTTCAATGTTTTGGTACAAATATGCTGGAATGATAAAAAGAATGCAGGGTTCTTTTTATGCTCATAAATAGGGATTTTTTTTTTTTGAGATGGAGTTTCGCTCTTGTTACCCAGACTGGAGTGCAATGGCGCGATCTCAGCTCACTGCAACTTCTGTCTCCTGGGTTCAAGCAATTCTCCTGCCTCAGCCTCCCGAGTAGCTGGGACTACAGGCACGTGCCACCGTGCTCAGCTAATTTTTTGTATGTTTAGTAGAGACGGGGTTTCACCATGTTGACCAGGATGGTCTTGATCTCTTGACCTTGTGATCCACCTGCCTCGGCCTCCCAAAGTGCTGGGATTAAAGGTGTTAGCCACTGAACCTGGCCATAAATAGGGAATTTTAATCATACTCTATTGGTGCACTGAGATTGTGAATTAGTGAATTTGTGATTTATCCGAGCTGGAATTTCAGAGGTGGGTGGGCTTGGTTTTTAATAGATTTCTCAATTTCTTCTGCAGTTAATATTCTGCTTACATTTCTGTCTCCTTTTAGTCAGTTGGGGCAATTCACGTTTTCCTGGGGTAATCGCCCATATGATTTAGAACTCAAAGTATTTGCATGAAATTTGTAAATGATGCTCTTGCACCTGCTCCTGTGTTGTCAGTGTTTCCATGGTGTTAAACTTGTGTACATGTAAGTTTGAGTGCCCTCCCCATAGTTCCTGATTTGGGGTAGACACAGGCTTATTCACTGATGAATTTCAAAGGCCCAGCACGTGAATTTTATTCTCCTGGTTTCAAATCATACACTTTTACCATTTTCATTTTTTTCTTCTTGGTTCTCACATTTATCCTGTTCTTTTTATTTTCTGGAGTCTAATTTTGTAAGTTGAATGAATAATTTACTTGTTTATATTTGGTTGTTACTAACATAATTGTTATCGCTATGAATTTTCCTCTGAGACTGTTTTAGTCATATCATTTGAGTTCTGAAAGATCATATTCCATAATTGCTGTTTTCTGTGATTCTGACATTTAGGCTGTTGCTCTGTTTTACCCAAAAATTGTTCAGGAGGGATTTTGTTTGCTTAGCTGTTTTTCAGGATGTTAGGTTTTCCGCTTCTATGATTGCTGTTATTTTCTTCCTGCTGTTGATTTTGGCTGAGGAATATGGTCTAAGTGTTCTTGGGATTTGACATATGTTCAATTTAAAGAAGAGGTGTCATGGATCCTTGAAGAGAGAGGCGTTTCCCACTCTGGGTGTGATGTGGCTGTCAGGACCCCCTGGGTCTCCTGACACAGATACAGGACCCTGAGTTCACAGAGGGCCGCTGAAGCCCCCACTGCTGCAGGCTGCCTGGTCATTTTCAAATGATTTTGGAATCTCCATTCGCTTACTTACCTCCATTCCTAAAATAGTATCATTGTTTTTCCTCTTTATTGTTTTTGCTATCAGGGAGGAGCCTATTATCAGAGGAAATGGATGCACGGTGGACACCCTGGTCTGGCTTTATCAAGTTCACATGCTTTTCACATCACCCCTCTTTCCCTGCCCTTCCCTTCCCCTCCCTCCCCTCTTTCTCTTCTCCAATTTACTCCCTCTTCTCTCCTTCCCTACCCCTTCTCCTTCCTTCCTTTCCTCCCCTCTCCTTCCCTCCTGCCTCCCCTTCCCTCTTTTCTTTCCCCTCTCCCCCTTCCTCTCTTCCTGTCTCCCTCCCATTCCCTCCCTATTCTTCCCTCCCTCCTCCCTCTTTCCTATCTTCCCTCCTCAGCTCCCCCGGCCCTTAGGTGCAGAGGTCTGAGGTCCTCTTCCTTAGTTCCTGGGAAAACTGGCCCCACAGACCCTCGGGTTCTCATTCTCTCCACTCACGGACTGATCCCCTTTCCTGCCAGTGCCTCTCTTGGTTCCCACCCTTCCCCATGTGCAGCCAATTTGCTGTGTTTGATATCTTTCAGTTTGTATGTTTTCTTGAAGAATCAGTGAGACTGTTGTGGGCACAGGATTCACCATGCTGAAGAGGACCCTCTGTGTGGCCAAGTGCTCATCCAGGGCTTGGCCTGCCCCGCTGCAGAGCCCAGCCTTGGAGCTGCCATCTGTCACCTCTCACACCGACGGCATTCGGGTTGCCTCCCAGGCCCAAGGATTCCTGGACTGAACAGGAAACTTTAATGCTAATTATACCACATCAATCTTTTTAAAGCTTGGTTCTCTCTTGCCTCTGATTTGTGCTATTGACATGCTGTTTAAAAAGCCTTGCCTTGCTGCTTGGCCATGATTATTTTCTTCTATATTAGGTTAAATTTGTAGTCTTAAGGTGACAGCTGTGCCCAGCTATTGAGGTGCAGGGCGCCACCATTCAGCAGAGACCGGTCTAAAAGCAGAGCCCAGAGGCAGCCTACAGCTCCTGTCCAGAGGCTCTGAGGGGTCTGGGCCGGGAAGGTGGCCTGGCTGCAAGCCCAGCAGAGAATTCAGGTGGGCATGGCCCAGCCATGGTCTCACAGGACCCTTCCTTCCTCTCCCAGCTCCTCCCCACACAGGTGTGCTGGCCTGAGCGCTGTGGTGCAGCAATTCCAGCCTCAGTGCAGGAGCCTCCCAGGCACAAATTCCTGAACTTAATGTACTTTCTTCATTTATCCTTTTGTCAATTTCCTTAACAAATAGTGAATTTCCACCATGACTCAGGCACTCTAGAGTGAACGAGGCCAGACGCTGTGCCCAGGTGTCTGTCAGAAGTAATTGGGCTGTCCTGAGCCTCTAGGTTAGTTTAAAGTTAAGGATCTGTGCATCATTGCTGCTAGAAAATTCCTGGAAAAGTATGTGCATGTCTTTTGGGAAGAGAACCAGAGGAAAGGAATGGATTTTCTCCCTGGCAGCGAGTGTCCCACCCTGTGAGTGGCCAGGGCCAAGATCCCCTGGCTGGGGCAGCGGAACTGGAATAGGAGCAGCATCTGTTTGTTGCAGACCTGGCTGAAGAATGCTCTGTGGCTTTGAGCCCTCAGGGCTTGCTTCTCAGGGGCTCCTGGCCCCTCTCCTGCTCATAACTCACTCCCCCAGAGGGTCTCCCAGCAGAACCTGGGTGTGAGCTGACCTTCCCCGCCCTGCCAATGATAGGTGGCTGGTGGCAGAGTCCCCTACAGCCCAAGGAGTTCTGCTCAGTGCAAGATTCATCATTTGGCCACACCGCAGGTCGGCAGGCGACAAGGCTTCTGGCAACAGGAAGACCGAGTTCCCACTGGTCTGGCCCCTGAAGGCTCAACCCTAGGAACAGACACCAGGAAACCCCCTTAGCTGAATCTTCTGTGCAGCTGGAGCTCAGGGTGCAAGGAAGCAACTCTGAAGACTTTAAACAGCCCAAGACTACTGACTGTCATCTTAGCCCAGGATGAGCTGCCTGCTGGAGACTTCCTCTTGTGGGCTCCGTGCTGAGGCTGTGCAGCTTCCTACCTCACGCCTTCTCTGTGATCACAGGATGCTGAGTGGAGAAAAGAAAACTCACACAGGGATGGCCACATCGCAGGAGTGTGTGGGGCTGTGCCCAGGTCTTCAGAGGCTGAGGCCAGATGGGGTGCGGGGCCCTGCTTCCTTCTCCGCAGCAGGAGCCCCGTGACCCCCAACACCGAGTTTCAGAGTTGAGAAATCGCCCTGTGACTGCTGAGTGCTTTGGAAATGCTAAGGGTCCACTTCCCTCTCCTGGTCCAGGCTCAGCAGGGGCTCCAGCTGATCCCATTCTTCCCACTGGAGGGAGTCGTTGTTGGGGTGGGGGGCTCTGGGGGCCTCCTAGCTGTTGGGTGATGGTGGGCTTCTGGCATGGGGTGAGGTCACCCAATGCCCCTTCAAGCTGCTCTCCTGGCCCTCAGTGGGGCAACCGTGATCCAGGTTCAGGGACTTTTGTGCCCGCTGCTCCCACTTCCCTTTGGCCGTACCCACAGGATTTTGGCTCTGCCCTCCCCTCTCTGCAGCTAAGAAGGAGTCCTTGGCCTCTGCTGACCTAATTTTAAACTCACTGTCACAATGTTTCATGGAAACTTCCCAATTATCACATGATGACAGTGACAATGATTTCTTTATTTTATACTTTAAGTTCTGTGGTACATGTGCAGATCGTGCAGATTTGTTACATTTTTACAGGTGGCTAACCTGGTCTACATGTGCCATGGTGGTTTGCTGCACCTATGCCCCCTTCATCTACATTAGGTATTTCTCCTAATGTTATCAATCTCCAATCCTCCCACCCCTTGCTATCCCTTCCCTCGACCCCCTATCCTCTGGCAGGCCCTGGTGTGTGATGTTCCCCTCCCTGTGTCCATGTGTTCTCATTGTTCAACACAAACTTATGAGTGAGAACATGCGGTGTTTGGTTTTCTATTCTTGTGTCAGTTTGCAGAGAATGGTTTCCAGATTCATCCATGTCCCTGCAAAGGACATGAAGTCATCCTTTTTTATGGCTGTGTAGTATTCCATGGTGTATATGTGCCACATTTTCTTTGTCCAGTCTATCATTAATGGGCATTTGGGTTGGTTCCAAGTCTTTGCTATTGTAAACAGTGCGACAATAAATGTACATATGCATGTGTCTTTATAACTGAATGTTCTATAATACCTTGGGTATATACCCAGTAATGAGATTGCTAGGTCAAATGGCATTTCTATTTTTAGACCCTTCAGGCATTGCCACACTGTCTTCCACAATGGTTGAACTAATTTACACTCCCACCAACAATGTAAAAGTATTTTTACTTCTCCACATCCTCTCCAGCATCTGTTGTCTCCTTATTTTTTAATGATAGCCATTTTAACTGGTGTGAGATTGTATCTCAATGTGGTTTTGATTTGCATTACTCTAATGATCAGTGATGATGAGCTTTTTTTCATGTGTTTGTTGGCTATTTAAACATCTTTTGAGAAGTGTCTGTTCATATCTCTCACCCACTTTTGGTGGTATTGTTTGTTTGTTTTTTTTTAATTTGTTTAAGTTCTTTGTAGATTCTGGTTATTAGCCCTTTGTCAGATGGGTAGATTGCAAAATTTTTTCCCATTATGTTGGTTGCCAGTTCACTCTAATGATAGTTTCTTTTGCTGTGCAGAAGCTCTTAAGCATAATTAGATCCCATTTGTCTATTCTGACTTTTGTTGCCATTGCATTTGGTGTTTTAGTCATGAAGTCCTTGCCTATGCTTATGTCCTGAATGTTATTGCCTAGATTTTCTTCTAAGGTTTTTATGGCGTTAGGTCTTATGTTTAAATCTTTAATCCATCTGGAGTTAATTTTTGTATAAGGTGTAAGGAAGGGATCCAGTTTCAGCCTTCTGCACATGGCTAGCCTGTTTTCCCAACACCATTTATTAAATAGGGAATCCTTTCCCCATTGCTTGTTTTTGTCAGGTTTTTCAAAGATCAGATAGTTGTAGATGTGTGATGTTACTTCTGAGGACTCTGTTCTGTTCCATTGGTCTATATCACTGTTTTGATATCAGTCCCATGCTGTTTTGATTACTGTAGCTTTGTAGTATAGTTTGAAGTCAGGTAGTGTGATTCCTCCAGCTTTGTTTTTTTTTTTTTTTTTTTGCTTAGGACTGTCTTGGCTATGCAGGCTCTCTTTTGTTTCCATATGAAGTTTAAGGTGGTATTTTCCAATTCTATGAAGAAAATTGATGGTAGCTTGATAGAGATAGCATTGAATCTATAAATTACTTTGGGCAGTATGGCCATTTTCATGATATTGATTCTTCCTAACCATGAGCATGGACAGTGGAGATGGTTTCTTGCCTTATCTGCAGCTAGGCTATGTTCAAGACTCCAACCATTATCTCATTTACCTCAGAAATGCCCCTAAGCTGGGGGCAGGGACAGCATTGGGGGGTCACAGCTCCTCATTTTTGCAGGTGGATAACCTGGGGTTCCAGTGGTTGGCCCTTCTTTGTCCTGTTGGATGGCTTAAGGCCCAGGTGTCCCTGTCCCAGAAGACTGGCTAATGCCTGCCTGTTCATTCCTACCTAGACAACCATGCCATAGGACAGCACTGATGGGAGGAGAGGTGGGTTCAGGTGTCCCAGTCAGGGGAAACTCAGGTGGCAACTCCACAGAACACTGGAGATAATAGTGTAACTCACAGACCCAGAAGAAGAGGGCAGCCACCTTGCAGGGCTGTTGGTGGGAAGGGGGTGCCATCTTACACTTAGCCAGAGAGACAGGAACTGTGGCCGAAGCCTTCACTGGGGTCCAGGGTATTACCCAAGCAGGTTTCCCACAGGGAGCTCTAGGTGCTCTAAGCCAGTGGGACACAGCTCCAGGAGGTCACCTTGGGACCAGGAGGGGTCTGCTGTGAAATAGCAGCCCAGTCCTCACAGGGCATGGGATCTAAGTGTGTCCTGTGGGCTGTCCCATAGCAGAGTGGTCATCAGGAGGCATCTGTGTAAGGCAGGTTTCTGGATGGACCACCCTGAGAAATTTCGGCGTGGTGGAAAACTAGAACGAGTGTCAAGGGTGACTAAGTCCTGATTCTGGGAGGACAAAGCCCAAAATGTGTGCTGAGGGAATACAGTGTTGTAAGAATTCCACACAGATCCTTCAGTGCTACAGATGAGACAGGGTGTCAGACTGTGAGCACGTCAGAGTCTGGGGGGTGTAAAGTTATTGCACATAAATAATCTGGAAACAGCTGCCTAGAATAACCTTTATATTGGAAAGTGTGCTTTGAGGTCATTATGCAGGATTTTATAGCCATTTCTTGGCTGAGCCCCAGGATGGCTTATGGCTTTGCAGAAAGGCATCATCACATTTTATGAATGACAGATGGCTTTTATCACACTTTTGCATGATTGCTTATGGTAATAGGGCTGCAGTGCCTGAGCCATGGGGACCTGCATGAGTGCCCCGGGCAAAGTCTGCTCTTTGGGCCTTGAATCTGGATCCCATGTGAGGCCTGAGGATGTTATTTCTTCCTCTGACCTCCTGGCTGTCCAGGCCACTGTGACAGAACAGTGGGGGCCCCCAACCCCCATATGTGCAGGTGCAGGCCTGTCTAGGGAAAATCAGTGGCTCCCACGGGCTATGGGATGGTGCACCAGTCCCAGGGTCCTGCACGGGAGGGCTTTTCATCCCCACCCCTCCTTTCCTGGACCAAACCCGGCTTTTATCCAGCCTTGTCTTTTTCTTTCTTTTTTTCTAAGCCCCCATGATCCAGGCTGGACTCTAGGGTGAGGGCTGCATGTTCCGCTCCACCCAGCTGTCTGGACACTGCTGCTGGACAATGGCCTGGCTCCCATGGGCTCCCGCCCATTGTGGCTCAGGTTTACCCAGCTCTGCTTCACCGCAACATGACCTTGTAAATAAGAGTTATTTCTCAAACTGGGAGAAATCACTGTATTTGGTCAAACAGACAATGATTTATATTTTTTTAAATCAGCTCTGCTCTGCTAAACAAATATTTAGAGAAAAGATGAGCACAAGACAGTCTAGACTGTTTAGATGGCATCAAGAGAACCCTGGGAAGAAGAACCAGGGCTGGGGCTGAGCCAGGACGAACCCCAGGGGTCAAGGCGACAGCCAGGAGGGTCAAGGCAGGCGCCAGCTGCTGTGGGTGAGGCCAGACCAGAGCAGGATCTGGGTGACACTGATGCCTGGTGAAGAGACAAGGAGGGGGACAGGGGGTCAGGGAGCCTGGCAGGGGCCTCGAGGGACTTAGTATCTGATGAAAGGATGGACATGACCCACCAGATGAGGCAGAGGGGCCTGGTAAATGCCTGTCAAGGGTGGTGTAGAAACAGAGAGTAAGGCTTCTATCTAAAAGTGGGCTTATGGAGAAGAGCAGTCCTCCATGTCCAGAGCAGGAATCTGAAGGTGAAATGTGTTTGCCAGATATTCTCTCTCCCTCTGTCTCCTGACTTCTCTCTGCCTCCATCTCCATCTCCACTTTGTGTCTCCCTCTCCCTATCTCTGTTCTCTCTGCAGTAGCCCATCCATGTCCCTCATCCAGCAAACTCCACGGCCATGCAGGGCTTTTCATGATGCTGCCATTGTACTTTGCTTAAGAAAATGACTATTTCTCAAGTTTTTGGAGTGAAGCCACCATGACCTTTGCAACAGATAAACATACACTTTTTCCAAGTGTGACTCAAGGACAAAAGGTTCATGCCCAAGGCAGTTCTAAAAGTGGATGGGTAATTGCTGGTTCTGCTTCCTGTAAGGATTTTGTAAGATTAAACCAAACTCAGTCACTCACTGAAACAGCTTCAAAACCTGTACACAGTGCAGACAGGCCACTGGTGGGCATTGGATAGTGAACAGCAAGACAGGCCTGGGGTGCACATGGGTGAAAACAGAGTTGCAGGATGAACGTTTTTTCTGCCTGTGGCTGTTAGCCTGGGCCCTGTGTAGTTAGCACATGAGGAAGCAAGGGGTCCTCAGAGAAGACCACGGTCTTCATTGCCTGGAACAGGAGCAGAATCAAATTGGGGAAGCTGTGGTCCCTGGAGAGGGGGAGCGTCCAGAAGGGGAAGGATTGCAAAGGGGAAACTTCAAACTCATGCTTCTGACTGGCCCTGAGCTGCACACACACAAAACAGATGAAAGACATCCAGCTGCCATGTGTGTTCCTACGCAACTGTCTTGCATGCTCTGCTCATGTACCCCAAAACCTAAAATCCAATAAAAAATTAAAAAAAAAAAAAAGACATCCAGCTAAAGGCAGAAAGTCTGAGTTCAGGCTGCAGTGGTAGCCAGGAGCCATATTTGCAGTTCAAGCCCAACCTAGCACACATGTGATTACTACTTACTACCCCAAGAGAAACAGCAGCTGGTAGAAAGCAACAGAGTCCCGAACTTCCACATCACAAGCATAGTGTCCAGGACTCAATTTAGAATTGCTCAGCATACAGGGAAACCAACTAAGTGGGACACTTTCTTAGAAGAAAAGAACATCAACTGAGATGGATTGCAAATGACCAGGTGTTGTGATAGAAGGTGAGGATTTTACTTCAGGTGGCTTGGAGCTGGACTAAGTGCATAAACAGTGTTATAGCCTCTTGGATAATTGACCATGTTGGAGTTACAGAATTACCTTCTTATAACCCTGGTCATGTTCATTGCCCTGAAATACACTTTGTCCAATATTAATACAGTTACTCCACCTTTTTTTCTTACTAGTGTTAGTACAGTGTATCTTTTAAAATCCCACTGGTTTTCATGTATTCGTGAATTTATATTTAAAGTGGATTTTGGGTAGGCAGCCCTTAGTTGAGTCTTGCTTTCTTACTCAATCTGACAAACTGCCATTTAATTAGACCATTTTCATCTACCATGTACTGTTGACAGTAGTTGAATTTAAACCACCACCTTGCTATTTGTTTTATTTATCCTGTCTATGTTTTGTTTCCCTGTTCCTCTTAGCCTATCTTCGTTGGGACTGAGTATTTTTTTATGAACCCACTTAATCGCTTTTGTTGGCCTATTTCCTGTAACTCTGAGAGAGAGAGAGAGACAGAGAGAGAGAGAGAGAGAGAGAGAGAGAGAGAGAGAGAGAGAGAGAGAAAGAGAGAGAGAGAGAGAGAGAGAAAGAGAGAGAGAGAGTATGTGTGTGTGTGTGCATACATTTTAGGGTTTATGGTATGCACTGTCAACGTACCACAGTCTACCTTCAAATAATATGATACCACATCATGATGGTTTAATAAACTTAAAGTAGCACACTTCCATTGCCCCTGCTTCTCCATGTCACTGTTGGCGTACGTTTCACTTCTTTGCGTTTTATATCCAGCAAAACATACACTTCGTTTCTGCATTTCTATCAGGTCTCCTTCAATGTCACTTCCTCTTGTTCGAAGGACTTTCGTTAATATTTATTAGTGCTTATCTGCTGGTAGAATTAATATTTTAGCTTTTATATGTCTGAAAAAGTTGGCATTCCACCTTGTTTCTACCTTTGTTGCCAGGTACAGAATCATGAATAAACAGCTTGTTCCACTGTCCTCTAGCTCACCTCATTTTCAAGGAGAAATCTGCCATTATCCTTGTCTTGTTCCACTGTACCTAACACATCTCTTTTCTTCTGTCTGCTTTTAAGATTGTCTCATTTTCACCCAATTTAAGTAATTTGATTACCTGTGACTTCTTCCTACTTCTTACTTCTTTGACTGGGATATGTAGCTTTTAAAAAGCAAATTAGGAGGAGGACTCAAGATGGCGCTGTGAGAAAAACCCAGGATTGAAGCTCTTGGTCAATGTGCGGACAGGGTGAGTCAGGGCCGCATTTCCAGACGGATCTTTGTTGCCCACAAAACGGGGAAATTCGCAGGTATAAAAGAGACGCCGGACGCCAGGCAGAGGCTTTGGCCGGTGCCATGGCAACCGGCGCGGTAGCGCAGCGGTGCTACACAGCGCTTCGCACAAACCACACTAGTCTGTGTGCCCTGTAGAACTGGCAAACTGTGATTTGAGAGGGCTGAGCTTGAGACTGAACGGGACTTGGACAGTGAGCCAGCCCAGGAGATTCCAGGGTCACAGCGTTTGGGGTAGCACAGTGGGACAAACAAAACGGTGATTCCAAATGCTCCCGGTGGAGAGGTTCCCTGAGAATGCAGCTCCGAGGGGGAGGGGCATCCGCCATTACCGAGGCAATCACCCCTACTGAGGTTCACACTCATTGCTGACGCAGCCTGCCATTGCCGAGGCAACGCGCTACAACAGAGAGACTCCGCCGCAGGGCGTAGCTCATGGCAGCAGGGCAGAGACTGCAGCAGAAGGGCAGAGCCTGCAGCAACAGGGCAAACCTCACACCAGCAGGGCGGAGCCTCGGCAGGCAAATAGTGACTAGACTGCCTCCTAGCTGGGCAGGACAGCACAGTGGACACTCAAAAATAAAGCCCCAATCCCCCCAGACAGAGCATCTGAGAAAAAAAAGGGTTTTGTTATGAGTTCTGTTGCAGCAGAATTAAACATAGCAGCCTAACAGCCCTGAATGAACAACAGAGCTCACAGTTCGGTAATTGAGCTCCTATAAAGTACAGACTGTCTCCTCAAGCAGCTCCCTGACCCCTCTATATCCAACAGACTGACATTTGGCAGGCATCATCCTGGGACAAAGATAGCAGAAAAAGAAACTGGTAGCATCCCTCGCTGTTCCGCAGTTGCTATAGGTGCACCCCAGACAAGCAGGGCCTGGAGTGGAACTCAGCAGTCGTACAGCGAAGGGGCAAGACTGGTAGAAGGAAAACCAAGTAACAGAAATACTTCATCATCAACAATCTGGGTGTCCACTCAGAGACCCAAACGAAAAGTCAGCAACTACACAGATGACAGGTGGATAAATCCACAAAGATGGGAAGAAACCAGCGCAAAAAGGAGGAAAACACCCGAAACCAGAACACCTCGCCTCCTAGAAAGTACCAAAACTCCTCACCAGCAAGGGAACAAAGCTGGACGGAGAATGACTGTGACGAAATGACGGAATTAGACTTCAGAAGGTGGATAATGAGAAACTTTTGTGAGCTAAAAGAACATGTTTTAAATCAATGCAAAGAAACTAAGAAGCTTGAAAAAAGATATGAAAAAAGATTCGAGGAAATGATAACAAGAATGGATAACTTAGAGAGGAATATGAATGAATTAAAGAAGCTGAAAAACACAATAAGAGAACTTCACGAAGCATGCACAAGTTTCAGTAGCCGAATTGACCAAGCAGAAGAAAGAATATCAGAAGTCGAAGATCAACTCAATGAAATGAAATGAGAAACCAAGATCAGAGAACAAAGCACAAAAAGGAATGAACAAAGTCTCCAAGAAATGTGGGACTATGTGAAGAGACCTAACCTACGTTTGATAGGTGTACCAGAATGTGACGAAGAGAATGAATCCAAGCTGGAAAATACCCTTCAGGACATCATCCAGGAAAATTTCCCCCACCTGGCAAGACAGGCCAACACTCAAATGCAGGAAATACAGAGAACACCACAAAGATATTCCGCAAGAAGAGCAACCCCAAGGCACATAATCGTCAGATTCAACAAGGTTGAAATAAAGGAGAAAATACTAAGGGAAGCCAGAGAGAAAGGTTGGGTCACCCACAAAGGGAAGCCCATCAGACTGACAGCAGATCTCTCGGCAGAAACACTACAAGCCAGAAGAGAGTGGGGGCCAATATTCAACATTCTTAAAGAAAAGAACTTTCAACCCAGAATTTCATATCCAGCCAAACTGAGCTTCGTAAGTGAAGGAAAAATAAAATCCTTTGCGAACAAGCAAGTACTCAGAGATTTTGTCACCACCAGGCCTGCTTTACAAGAGCTCCTAAAAGAGGCACTACACATAGAAAGGAATAACCAGTACCAGCCATTCCAAAATCACACTAAATGCTAAAGAGCATCAACATAATGAAGAATCTACAACAACTAACGGGCAAAATGACTACTTAGCATCAAAATGGCAGTATCAAATTCACACATAACAATATTAACCCTAAATGTAAATGGACTAAATGCACCAATCAAAACACACAGACTGGCAAATTGGATAAAAATCCAAAACCCATCAGTGTGCTGTATCCAGGAAACCCATCTCACATGCAAGGATACACAAAGGCTCAAAATAAAGGGATGGAGGAAGATTTACCAAGCAAATGGAGAGCAAAAAAAAGCAGGAGTAGCAATTCTCATATCTGATAAAATAGACTTTAAAGCAACAAAGATCAAAAGAGACAAAGAAGGCCATTACATAATGGTAAAAAAATCGAAACAACAAGAAGAGCTAATGATCCTAAACATATATGGACCCAATACAGGAGCACCCAGATACATAAGGCAAGTTCTTAATGACTTACAATGAGACTTAGACTCCCACACAATTATAGTGGGAGACGTTAACACTCCACTGTCAATATTCAACAGATCAACCAGTCAGAAAATCAACAAAGATATCCAGGGCTTGAACTCAGACCTGGAGCAAGCAAACCTGATAGACATCTACAGAACCCAAATCCACAGAATATACATTCTTCTCAGCACCACATCACACCTACTCTAAAATTGACCACATAATTGGAAGTAAAGCACTGCTCAGCAAATGCAAAACAACTAAAATCATAACAAAAAGACTCTCAGACCATAGTGCAATCAAGTTAGAACTCAGAATTCAGAAACCAACCCAGAACCGCACAGCTTCATGGAAACTGAACAACTGGCTTTTGAATGTTGACTGGATAAGCAATGAAATGAAGGCAGAAATAAGTTCTTCGAAACCAATGAGAATGAAGACACAACATGCCAGAATCTCTGGGACACATTTAAAGCAGTCTCTAGAGGAAAGTATATAGCAATAAGTGCCTATATGAGGAGAATGGAGAGATCCAAAATGGACACCCTATCATCAAAATTGAAAGAGCTAGAGGAGCAAGATCAAAAAAACTCAAAAGTTATTTCCAGCAGAAGACAGGAAATAACTAAGATCAGAGCTGAACTGAAGGAGATTGAGACACGAAAAACCCTTTAAAACATCAATAAATCCAAGAGTTGGTTTTTTGAAAAGATCAACAAAATAGACAGACCACTAGCCAGATTGATTAAAAAGAAAAGAGAGAACAACCAAATAGATGCAATAAAAAATGATAAAGGGGAAATCACCAGAGATTCCACAGAAATTCAAACCATCATCATAGAATATAACAAACAACTCTATGCACATAAACTAGTAAACCTGGAAGAAATGGATAAATTCCTGGACTCCTGTGTCCTCCCAAGCCTAAACCAGGAGGAAGCTGAAACTATGAATAGACCAATAACAAGGTCAGAAGTCGAGGCAGAATTAAGAGTCTACCACACAATAAAATCCCAGGTCCAGAAGTGTTCACAGCCGAATTCTACCAGACACACAAAGAGGAGATGGTACCATTCCTTCTGAAACTATTCCAAATAATCCAAAAAGAAAGAATCCTTCCCAAATTCATTTTATGAGACCAATATCATCCTGTTACCAAAACCCGGCAGAGACCCAACAAGAAAAGAAAACTTCCGGCCAATATCCATGATGAACATAGATGCAAAAATCTTCAATAAAATATTGGCAAGCCGATTCCAACAGCAAATCAAAAAACTTGTTCATCACGATCAAGTAGGATTCATCTCGGGGATGCAAGGCGGGTTCAACATACGCAAGTCTATAAACGTAATTCACCAAATAAACAGAACCCAAACCAAAAACCACATGATTATCTCAATTGACGCAGAGAAGGCATTTGACAAAATTCAACAGCCCTTTATGCTAAAAACCCTCAATAAACTCGGTATCGATGGAACGTATCTCAAAGTAATAAAAGCTATTTATGACAAACCAACAGCCAATATCATACTGAATGGGCAAAAACTGGAAGCATTCCCTTTGAAATCCGGCACTAGACAAGGATGCCCTCTTTCACCACTCCTATTCAATATAGTACTGGAAGTTCTAGCCAGAGCAATCAGGCAAGAAAAAGAAATAAAGGGTATTCAAATAGGAAAGGTGGAAGCCAAACTGTCTTTATTTGCAGACGACATGATAGTATACCTAGAAGACCCCATCGCCTCAGTCCAAAAACTCCTGAAACTGATAAGCAATTCAGCAGAGTCTCAGGATATAAAATCAATGTGCAAAAATCACAAGCATTTCTCTACCCCATTAACAGACTTAAAGAAAGCCAAATTAAGCATGAACTGCCATTCACAATTGCTACAAAAAGAATAAAATACCTAGGAATACAACTCACAAGGAATGTAAGGGACCTTTTTAAGGAAAACTACAAACCACTGCTGAACGAAATAAGAGAGGACACAAACAGATGGAGAAACATTCCATGTTCATGGTTAGGAAGAATTAGTATCTTGAAAATGACTATACTGCCCAAAGTAATTTACAGAATCAATGCTATCCCTATCAAGCTACCATTGACTTTCTTCACAGAACTGGAAAAAACCACCATGAACTTTATATGGAACCAAAAGAGAGCCCGCATAGCCAAGTCAATTCTAAGCAAAAAGAACACAGCGGGGGGCATCACACTACCGGATTTCAAACTATACTACAAGGCTACAGTAATCAAAACAGCATGGTACTGGTACCAAAACAGATATAGACCAATGGAACAGAACAGAGGCATCGGAGGCAACACAACATATCTACAACCATACAACCTTTGATAAACCTGACAAAAAGAAGCAATGAGGAAAGGATTCCCTATTTAACAAATGGTGTTGGGAAAACTGGCTAACCATGTGCAGAAAGCAGAAACTGGACCCCTTCCTGACACCTTACACTAAAATTAACTCCAGATGGATTAAAGACTTAAACATAAGACCTGGCACCATAAAAACCCTAGAAGGAAATATAGGCAAAACTATCCAGGACATAGGAGTAGGCAAGGACTTCATGAACAAAACACCAAAAGCATTGGCAACAAAAGCCAAAATAGACAAATGGGACCTAATGAAACTCCACAGCTTCTGCACGGCAAAAGAAACAGTCACTAGAGTGAATCGGCAACCAACAGGATGGGAAAACATTTTTGCAGTTTATCCATCTGACAAAGGGTTCATATCCAGAATTTACAAAGAACTCAAACGGATTTACAGGAAAAAAACAAGCCCATTCAAAAGTGGGCAAAGGATATGAACAGACACTTTATGAAAGAACACATATATGAGGCCAAGAATCATGAAAAACTGCTCATCGTCACTGGTCATCAGAGAGATGCAAATCAAAACCACATTGAGATACCATCTCATGCCAGTTAGAATGGCGATCATTAAAAAATCTGGAGACAACAGATGCTGGAGAGGATGTGGAGAAAAAGGAACACTTTTACACTGTTGGTGGGAGTGTGAATTAGTTCAACCATTGTGGAAGACAGTGTGGTGATTCCTCAAGGCCTTAGAAATAGAAATTCCATTTGAGCCAGCAATCCCATTACTGGGTATATATCCAAAGGTCTGTAAATCATTCTACTATAAGGACACATGCACACGATGTTCATTGCAGCACTGTTTACAATAGCAAAGACCTGGAATCAACCCAAAACCCCATCAATGATAGACTGGATTGGAAAAATGTGGCACATCTATACCATGGAATATTATGCAGCAATCAGAAACGATCAGTTTGTGTCATTTGTGTTGTAGGGACATGGATGAAACTGGAGAACATCATTCTCAGCAAACTGACACAAGAACAGAAAATGAAATACCACATATTCTCACTCATAGGCGGGTGAGCAAAAATGAGAACACATGGACACAGGGATGGGAGTACTAATCACTGGCGACTATTGGGGGGGAAGGGGTGGGCCAGCAGGAGGGGCAGCTGGGGAGGGATATCCTGGGGAGAAATGCCAAATGTGGGTGAAGGGGAGAAAGGAAGCAAAACACACTGCCATGTGTGTACCTATGCAACTGTCTTGCATGTTCTGCACATGTACCCCAAAACGTAAAAAACAATAAAAAATTAAAGAAAAAAAAAGCAAATTAGAAGATTTCAGTCATTATATCTTTCTTTTTTTTTCTTTCTGGGAATATAAATGTGTGTATTTTAGGCAAAAACTTACCTCCCAGTTAGCTTTCTGCTCCTTTGGAAGGTGTCTATTTCCTTTCACTTTGTGAAGGAAATACTTTCACAAAGTGTTTCACGTTGGATGGTTTCTACTATATAACTTCAGGTTCATTAATCTTTTTTTTGTGTAGTGTCTGTCTCATGTGCTCATAATCTCATCCAGTGAATTTTCTTTTTTGGAGACATTGTTTCATCTCTAAAAGTTTCC